AGTACCGAGTTTACTTTCTACGAGTCCGTATTCGAGCGGTCGAAGACACCATATTTGGCTTCAAATATGTCTATCAATCAAAAAAAACTGTCAAAATGGATACTAGTACATGGGCGGGTATTTTTCGGCTTATGAACCATATACGTTGCAGCGTAAAAATGTTTGGCACACGGACGAAAGGAAGAAAGAAAAAAAAGAGGGAAGGAAGCAGCGAGAACACTGGAAAATCGGTATGCCGGTCTATGGCGTTCACCCTAAGACACCAAAGGTCTGGGCTCCGGTCTGGGCTGCCAGGAAGTGCTCCTTTGACGAATTAGACTTGATGTTTGTATGCTTGTTTGGATTATTGAGCCAAAATACGATTTATGGCCGACACGATAGGCATTTTGACCAATCAAATACGTTTTTTATGCTTACTGGCCGCGCTAACTAATTGCGTTGATCTGATTGGCCGCGCTAACTAAAATAGAATACACGCATTCTGTATTAGATCCAAAGAGATTTTTCTCGGGGCCAGTTCCATGGCGCTAGCATGATCGTGATCGTCAGGTCCGGAATGGACGCTGCACTCGCCGCACGGAGGCCCACCCACCTAGGGCGTTCCCGACGCCGCGTTGAATAATGACGATGGTAGGTCGTCGACGACGGCCTTGGCCTTGGACCGATGGGCTGCATAGCTCACGTAAACTTGGGGCTCCAAATAGGTCATATCCTGTTTTGGTTGGCCAAGGATATATCCTAGTTGACTTGTTCGAAGATCGCCAATGACGTTTTTGGAACGTGGGTCAGCCAGCAGAATGGAGCCCCACAGCTACGCCGGGCGCTGGCGCCGCAGCAAGGCCGCGACGAACGCGGTCCTCGAGTGGCTGCACCGAGCGACCAAGCCCAAGAGCAAGAACGCCAAGAAGAAGGTCAAGAAGAAGGGCGCGCGGTCGGCCGATACCGCGACGTGGACCATGGCGCAGATCTACGCGGCCGCGCTCGAGGTCGTCGACGCCGGCACGACCGTGCCATCCAGCGTCTTGCGCGACCTCATGGTTATCATTCGCCTCCGGTTCGACGCTTACATCAAGCTACCGGTCGACCAGCGCGACGGCCATGACGCGTACGTCGATGTGCTCCGCGCGGTATTGACCAAGTGGTTGCCGATCACGGACGACCTCAAGACGCTGGTGGGCCCTTTAAAGGACATGCGCACGGGCCGTCGGGACCGCGATGACGTAGGCCAGCGCGACTACTTTCCGCACTTGCCGCCGTTCGACGTCGACACGTATGCTCCGCCGGTCGACGACGCTGCTGACCCGAGCATCGCAAGCCTCGACGCGCAGCGCCGCGAGATGCAGTTCGCCTGCATGTGCTTTGTCTTGGACATGGCCGACCTTATGCACGATGCCAAGCTCGGCTGGATCATGCACAAGGAGTCGGCCATGTGCGTGAGCGTCCCAACCGCGATTACGAACGCCGCCGTCTACGCAATCGAAGTGCTCCACACCGAGCTGCGCGAGACGTACCCGCACCTCTCGGACTTGGAAGCGATCATGGCCACGCTGCGCTGCGGCCGCTTCATCGTCGAGATCGTCACGGTCCACAAAGTGTCGGTGGACAAGGCGGCGGGCATGCTCATGGTCGCTCGCCGCGCGGCCATCGAGCGTCTCCGGCCGCTCTCGATCCAAGTCATGACAAAGGCGCTGTCCACGTCATCGGCCATCGCGGGTCGCCTTGTCGACCGAATCGTTGCACAACTCGAAGGCGACGACTACTGGAACATGGACTGGACGACGACGCTTGGAAAAGGCGACAGCCTCACTGCGCTTCACGCGTACCTCAAGACGTTCATCGTGCACGCTCTTCGCGAGCCTGGGACGCGCGCAATCACGTATCCCGATACCTTTGGTCCGCCGTGGGTCGAAGGCGACGTCCTTCGCTGCACGCGCGACTTGTACCAGTCGTTCTTTGCAGACGTCTTGCCACCACTGCTCCTCGACGCCCAAGCCGGCTTTGCGTACTACGCACCCGTGTACGAAAATGAACTGGCGCCGCTCCGACGCCTCCTGACGGTGTACGTGCAGACGCAGCAGATCCCGGTCGCGCTGCTCTTTGCATGTCAAGCGACGCTCTGGAGCCTCTTCTTCACGCAAGGCCGATCGAGCGTTGGCGTCACGGTCGCGCGGCTCGCGCAGTCGACGCGGCGGGCGGTCGACGACGTCCGGTTGCAGCTCGACTGCTGTCGGCTCAACCCGGACAGCTGGTATGTCCCTGCTTCGACGCGCGAGGCTTTAGATGCCGCTTGCAACTGGCTCGCGCATCGCCGGCGTCTCGCAGCCCCGAGCTTGGTGTTTACCCAAATGGAGCAAGACCGCGCGTGGTACAACCCGTACATGGCCGGGCAAATGATGCTCGTTTTGCGTCTCGAGATGGGCTACATCGTCGGTCGGTCGGTCATGGATGACATTGGCCAGACGCACATGCTCTTGCACCTCTACCATGCGCTCTGGCGTCGAGGCAAGGTTGCTGCCAGCGCCGAGATGGAGCTGCTCGCCGATGCATTGCCGCAGGTCTTTGTCGACGGCCGGCCGAACAGTGATTTCGCAGCGGCCCACTTGCGGTCGTGGGGCTACGACCCAGCGAAGGCGACAGCGATGGCAGCTACGTTGCCTCTCGACAGCGCAAACATGCTTGCGACATCTCTCGAGGTGTCGAGCAAGAAGACCAAGAAGCCGCGGTCGCTGCCGTCGTTGACGGCAATGGCCGAGACGACGGCCTTCCGACGCGTGACGCAGCTCGAGCTACCATGTGGAACCTTTGCCGACGACTACACCGAGTGGATGCGGACGCTCCGAGATGAGATGGAAGGTGTGCACGACCTCAATTTGGCGGCGATCGGTCAGCTCTTTCGTGGTGCGTGGATCGAGATGGCGGACGCACTCGGCTACCACGGCAGCAAGAAACACGATCGCGCGCCCGAAGTACCCAACGTCGTGCGCTTTGCCAACGAGAACCGCTGTGTGCAAACACTGCTCGGCCTCTGCGACCAGGCGCCCGACGACCCGCGCCTGCTTGTGGCCGCAACGGCCGTCAAGAACCTCGTGCAACGCGTACCGGAAGCGCGTCTTGTGGCGGCGCGCGACGTCTAAGTACGAATTGTGTTCTGTACGAATCCAAAATCCCTGTTTAAAGAATTGGGTCGAGTTAATGTGTGATTGATATGCATATTGCTTAGCCAGTTGATGGTTCGTCTTGCTAGCTAATCGACGTACTTGGTGCGTCGGGCGTCGCATGCAACTGCTACGTGGATGCAGGCTCGTCGAGACGAGCAGGTCGACGCAGCTGCGTCGGGACCGGTGGCTTCATCACGAGCTTGGGTGATCGAGATATTGAGACCTTGGTCGTTCGCGTGGTTGTCTTGGGGGGTGCTGGAGGGGACGGTGCGATGGAAGGACTCGCGTGGGTCTTGGCGCGGGCGGCGCGGGCGGCTTCCGTCGCGTATAAAATGGGGTGGGCCGCTCGGAAAGCGGCGTCGGCGGCGGCAGCGCGTTCGGCGGCCACCGCTTGCTTGTGTGTCAGTCCGTAGAGGCTCATTCTTTTTCAAAATGACAAAGTGTTTGGACTAGGGATTGTAGTGGGAAAGGCGAGAACATACAAAAGCGTTCGAGTCTGCCCTGTCGCTTTGGACGAGCCGTGAGGACTGGCTTTTGTCGAGAATGAGAAGCGCGCTGCAGTGAATGGCTCGGCGTCTCTTGTATGAGAGCGTTGATTCCTTGCCCGCGCAGGAGGGACTTGAGAGTTGTTTCCATCTACTAGAGTACTAGTACAGCACAAGATTGCACACATCGCATACTAGTACATGTAGGGCGGACGATTCTGTCTCGTCAATCGACTGTGCGCCACTGTCACGACACTGCGGGTAGTGCATTTCTCGCTTCCCATGGCTCAGATCACGACGGTATGTCATCGACACCACCAAATGCGCTAGTTTTACATCAGCAATGCAGGAAACGAAACCGTTGGGTGTAACATTAATTATTGTATAACACTAAATACTGCGAAATGGTGTGAGGGATTGTGAATCAAAAGTGCAAAGTGAGCATGGCCACGTTTGTCGACGCCGTGCTGCGCCAGCCCGAGATTCTGGCTGCCATTTTTGGCTACCAAGCGGGCGTCTACGCTGACGTCGCGTCTCGGTTCCGCGACTTTCACTTGTATGTGGACTTTGAGCCGACGCAGGGCATGTACGAGGGCATCTACTGCCTCGACCCGAAGCTCGTCCGCACCTCGTACCGGTACCCGTACGACCCAGACACGCCGCCAGATGTGCTCACCACCGAGACGCTGTACCTGAACTTACATAACACGCGGGACGCTCGCTTCCCGCTGCACCTTGCAATTCTCGAAGGCGATTTGGCCGCGACCAAGAGCATTTTGCGCTGCCGACCCGACCTCGCGTACCAAGAAGCCATCGAAGCAGCGATACAGCACAAGAAGCTCGAGATCGCGGCGTTTCTCTTACATCAGCGGGACGCGCACCATGTACACGGGCTGCACCGCAACTTTGAAGACGAGTTCCAGCGCCGGCCGTCGCGTCGCCTCGACGACTGGCTGCCGTCGAGCCGCTCGACGCTCTACAAGAACGACGCATCGATTCTGGCGCTGCTCTGGGCCCACCGGCAATGCGACTGGGACGACAGCGACCTCGTTCATACTGCGTTGGAGCTCAACGCACTCGAAGCTCTTGCGTTTTTGATCGCGCATCTGCCACGCACGGCGCTCCGTGGCCTCTTGGACGTAGTGGCCGGGAATGGTCTCTTGTCGCTGGTCCAGCAGCTCAACACGATGGGCCTTGCCTGCACCACCCGTGCCATGGACGACGCTGCGGCGAACGGGCATCTCCATATCGTTACCTACTTGCAGCAGCGTCGCACCGAAGGCTGTACGACCCAAGCGATGGACGCCGCTGCCGCCAACGGTCATCTGGACGTTCTTACCTTCTTGCACGAGGAGCGCACGGAAGGCTGCTCGACGGACGCCATGGACCGGGCGGCCGCCAATGGCTACCTTGGTATCGTGACCTTCCTACACGAAATGCGCGTGGAGGGCTGTACGACCAACGCAATGGACGCCGCCGCTGCCAACGGCCATCTGGATGTTGTCACCTTCTTACACGAGAAGCGCACCGAAGGCTGCACGACGGCCGCGCTCAGTGGCGCCGCGGCGGCGGGACATTTGGATGTCGTCGAGTTTCTCGTGGACCACCGTGACGAGGGTGCGTCACCTGACATTCTCGACACCGCGGCCGCCGATGGCCGTCTCGACATTGTCATGTATCTGGACACGCTCGGGCGCTTTGCGTGCACGACCGCCGCTGTCGACGACGCCGCCAAGCACGGACACGTGGAGGTCGTCGCGTACCTCTTGGCGCATCGACGTGAAGGCGGCAGTCGAGACGGTGCCACGCAAGGCGCACTGGAGAGAGGTCACATTGCGGTCGTCGAGCGGCTCGTTGCCGCCGGGTACCCCCTTCCGGGAACCACCGGCAGCATCCTGCGGGCGATTCACAAGCCAACTGCCCTCGCGCTGCTGCAGCTCTACGTTGCGCAAGGCGTTGACCTGCCCACCTCGTGGGCCCGCGAGGTGCGACAGTATGCTACCAGCGATGTGGCCCAGTACTACTTTCAACACGCGCCAGCAGCCGCCAAGCATGCCGCTTCACGAACCCCAATATCCCGGTACAATCATGACTTGGACGATATCGAGACGGCACTGTGGAACGAAGACTTTGACGAGGTGCGCGAGCTCTGGGCGCAGCGCCCAGAGCTCCGACACGACCACTTGCTCGATCGTCTTGTGGGCAACGACGAGTCGCCGGCCAGTGCGATCGCATTTCTCATCGACGCCGGCGTCGGGCAGCCTCGACGCGTCGCGGTCGAGCACCTTCATCGCCGGAGCTTTGACATGATGACTCTCCTTTTGCCCTACTGTCTGCACCCGAAGGACCATCTAGACAACCTCGCCTTCCTTGTCGAATGGATGAAGCAGGCGTATGCGTTCACCCCGTCGATGCTCTTGGTCCTTAAAGCCGAGATGATCGCCCAAGCCACAGCAGCGAACTGCCGCCACCTCCACGTCGGCACTGTCATCGAGGCGGTCACGGAAGAGCTGTTGGAGACGGGCGCAACGACCTCGTACGTCCAATCGACGTATCGGGGCCTGGAGCAACGGGTGCTCTTCCGGTCGGGTGTCGCCGACTGGGGTCTCGCAACGCTCGTGGTGCATGGTCTCTCAGTCGAGGCCACCAAGGACAACACAAAGAAGCTGCAAATGTGGGTCGGCTGGGTGACGAACACGGCGCTCAAAGCGCATCTGCAGCGCCTCCTGAACGAAGCGATGCCAAATGACTTGGTCGCCGAGCTGTCGTCAATGTACGAGTACTGCGATTATTAACGATTTGTTATCAAGACGCTGTCATGCTGTCAGCCTTCCCTTCTACTAACTAGTATAGTTAGTCGGAGAGGCGTCAAAAGTTGTCGGTGGCGGTGATTTGCGCTAACGGAGCGTGCGTTGAGTTTGAGTTTGAAGCGTTGAGGCTGCGGGCTCGACGCAGGTGGCGTCACCAGGAGTCGCCGACAGCATCGAGTCTATCGTTGTATCTAGATGCGTGTTTGTGTAGTGGAGGTTCATCGTGGCGCCAACACGAGTCCTCTCTGAAGTGATGAAACGTGTTGGAGTTCGCGCACGTCCGACTCGCTTGCCATATGGTTGGTATGCGCCGGACCGATGGCATTCCCAAATTCGCGCACTCTGGATTCGATGCGCATCTAGACCCCATTCAATACAAAGAGAGAGATACATGAAAATCAGAACTTGAAACGCGTGGTCATCGACCCATTCGCCATCGCACTCGATCGTCGATGGTTGGCCTGCTGCGCAAGGAGGAAGCTTCGGTCCGCGCGCTCACGGTCGCGTACGCCAAGGCCATCGAGCACCTTGACGACGCCGGGTCCTTCTTCCATGCAGCGGACCTGCCCGACCTGACAACGCCGGCTATCCGCATCGATGGCCTCCTCGCCGGCGACTGGTGGAGCTGGCCGGCCAACGCCGAGGATCTCATCGAGCACCACGAAGCGCCCAACCGGTCGGGCCTCGTGGGCGCGCACCTCTTGCACTTTGACCATACAACGTACACGGAGAGCCGTGTGTGGGGCGAACTCATCCATGGCCTCCCGACGGCCATTGCAGCAGCGCTCAAGCCGGCAGGCGACATTGAGCCGCATCTGACGCACCTCGCGATCGACGGCGTCGACGCTCCGCCCGTGCTCTCAAGCACTGGCGAGATCATCTTTGGCCCCGGCAGCATGGGCACGCTCGTCGTCGCGCTGCCTTCGCCGCACGCACGGTCCATCACGATCTCCGCTGGCGCCGAGACAATGACCTGGACGCCAAGCACTGGCTTGAGCTACGCGGCATGGTATGGCGACTGCACTGTTGACGTGGCGCCGATCACCGACGGTCGGCGCGCGTACCTTGTCTACGACCTCGTGTACGTCCTGCCGCACACGTACCGGACGGCGCCAGCGGTCCCGGCGTCGCTGCCCGCGACGCTCGCAGCGCTCGCAGCCCGCCCCCACCAGGTGCCAACTACCTTTGCGTATCGCATCCAGTCCACGGCCAACGACGACGCATTGGACTTTGCGCATCTCGCGGCCCGGGATGCAGCCTTCGTGCAGGCGCTCGTCGACAGCGGTGCCTATGACGTGGCCCTCGTCGACGTCCGCGACCCGACGCCGCCACGGACGTTCCCAGACGCGATGCTGACCACGATCCGAGATATGCTCCTGCGCGCCCGTCCCAACATGAACGACGACGCCCAAGATGACGACGACGATGATGACGACGATGACGACGACGATTCGGGCAGTGACGAGTTCGATGACGACGCCGACGACCACGAGGCTGCGACGCCGGCGCAGGTCGATCAAATCGCATTCCGAGCCATGCAAGAGCTGTACGGTCGGCAGCGACCGCCGCCGCTGCAGGACGTCGAGCTGGACACGCGCAACTTGGCCGCGCTCATGGTCCGCGGCGCACAAGAGATGGAAGAAGACCACGGCCACCGGTGCAACGAAGGTCGCCCGTACGGCTATGACCCGGCCGACTTTGATACGACGGCGACCGTCGACGAGTACGACACCGGGTCGGACGCCGGCCTCGACGACTCAGACGACGACGACTACGACTCGGACGACTCGGAGCACGAAGACGAGGCCGATATGCTTGGCGATGACGACTCGTCCGACGACGACGACGATCTTTTTGGGTTTGGCCGCCTGCTCCTGCCCCGGTCCAAGCGCCCGCTGGAAATCTCGGGCGCCGTCGTCCACACCGCGTCCGGTGACGTCGCAGCGGCGCTGCAGACCCACCTCATCGACCGCGTCGTCGGCACGTGGGTCGGCACACGAAGCATCTACAACATTGTGTCGCCGGTCCTCGTCTTTTGGCCCAAGACGCACCGGGTGCGGCTCGTTGGCTACCGACACGCCTTTGACGCTCTCCAGCGCGCAATGACGACGCCATCAACGTCGGATATGCTCGGGTTCGACACGGTGCACGCGCTCGCCGTCGCGGTCATGGACACGGTCGGCACACCGACGCTTCCGACGCCGCCCGAGGACGCCACAGCGCTCGCTGAGTTTGTCACGTCGTCGACGCCGGCGCTACGCGCGCTCTTTGTGCGGCACATGATCGACCTCCGCGACGAAACCTCGCGGCGCGACGGCCGCGACTGGCTCATCTCGGTCTTGACCACCTTTGGCTGGGAGTCGATCGGGCCCGCGATCGTCGAGCTCGTTGCTCGGTCGAGCGCCGACTGGAAGGGAGCGGTGCTGACGCTGCGCTTCCTCGATACGCTGCTGCCGCCGACGGCGCCATACGCCCACCAGCCGTACTTTGGCGAGCTCGTGATCGGGTGCTGGTATGCGCTGCTGACCAACCTATGGTCGTTCGACGACATGAGCGCAAACGAGTGGCGGCATGCCATCGGCGTCGACAGCCGTGTCTCGTTGCTGCGCCATGCGTGGTCATTGGACGCCCGCGTCGCCGCGTACCATGCCAGTGACGCGCCGCGCGTCACGTGGCTCGGCGGCCACCTCCCGGGGCCCGTGCTGGCCACCATCCAGTCGTTTCTCGCGCCAGCGCCGTCGTTGCTGTCGGTCGTGACCAAGTATCCTGCTGCGTTCCACGGGCTCCACGTCATCTTGCCGGCGCTGCTGAGTGTGGAGAATGGGCGGCTCGAGGCGCCGTGGATGGCGCCGTACGTGGCGCTGGTGCATGCCGCCATCAAGTCGGAGCGCGAGCTGCCGATGCAGTGCCTCTCGGCCATCTTTGCCCTCGGCGCCAAACACGGCATCTTGTCGGCGGTCGTTCACAAGGCGTGGTCGGGGCACCAGAGTCGGACAACAATGCCGCTGCTGCGCGCCATTCAAGACGGTATGGTCGTCTCGTCGGCGTCCGACGTCAGCTCGATCGCGGACCTGGTGGCGACAACTGCGCACGCGCTCAACGAGGCCGTGTCGGACGTCATCATGTTTTATGACGGCATGGGCTACGACGACACGCCGCCGGTCAAGGAAGTGCACGCAGCGCTCTCGATCCTCGCAGTTGTGTCGCCGTCGCATCTGCGTCCGTTCGTCGACGATATTCTCACCAAGGTACATGCAAAGTCCGACCGTCTCTTCTTCGTCCGCGACCTCCTCTACCCGACGATCCGGTACGTGGACGCCAAGCTGCCGACGGCCACCGACCTTCGAGAGCGCTTGGTCGCTGCTGTCGTCGACGCCCTTGACCCGTTTCTGCGAGCGACGCGCCGGACCGGCCAAGCGAACTTTGCTCTGTCGTGCCGCTGCGCGCAGTGCCAGCGCGTCGCCGATGAGCTTGCCAAGCAGGCGCCGACGCGGTCGATCGACCAAGTGTTTCGTGCAACGTGCGACCAGCTCCGGGCGTTTGTGACCAGTTGGCGCCCACACCGACGAATTGCTGTGTCGTTGATGGGGGCGCGCAATATGCGCATCCGCATGTTCTCGGAAGCCGGCGCGAGTGCCCGACGCCTTCGCGACGAAGCGTGCTTGGCGTACCTCCGTGGCGGGGACATGGCGCTGCCAGCGACGCGCAAACGACCGCCGTCGACAACGCCGTCGACCAAAGCCAAGCGGGCCAAGCCGACCGCCGACGCCACAGAGTGAATCCCACGTTGATGCACATCATCCACACTTTATTTGCTAAACTATAAAAGACAGTTTGTACATTAGTTGTCGGCTTTCGAGTTTTCACAGTGCCATGTGGAAAGTGCAATTTCAGGTTTCAAGTGCGCGCATCCTGGGTGCGGTCGATTTCATTGGCTGGATAAACACGTGGGTAACGTCGAAAATTACGTAGCGAGTCTGAAACGCGCGAACGTGCAATTTCGATCGACACCGATGAGTGGCAGCCGCGTCAAGCCGATAGCGGCCGCATACGAAGCGGTCCTCTCGCAGCTCGACGACGGGCGCACGGACGCGCTGCCGCAGCTGCTCGCAGCGGTCGCCGCGCAGCCCAAGCAGTACGACTCGATGTACGCCTATTGCCTCTCGACGCGCGTACCGTCACTGCGCTTTGACGACCTCGCGCCGCATGACGCAGCGTTCGTCGATGGTCTCGTGGCCGCCGGGAGCTTTGACATTGCGCTTGTCCGCGCGCCGCGGGCCAAGGCGCCGGCGAAACACACTACCGACTGCCTGGCGTGGCAGGAGCGCAACGCGATCGAAGCGCGCGAGTGGGCCGCGCGACCGGTGGCCAAAGCAGTGCCACAGGACGTAGCTGCGCCGTGGGGCTACGATCCCGACCACTTTGACTATGCGGGCGGCGCGACCTTTCGAAAGCCGCGGGATCCCGAGGACGGGTTTTGCACGGGCGACACGAGCGCCGACGACATGCAATCGGGGCCTGACGACGACGACGGGTACGACGTCGAATGGCCCGATGATCCCTACAACGAGTTTGGCCTCACGGACAACGACACCTACGGCGGTGCCCACCGAGGTTACGACGACGACGACGACGGCTGGGACGGGGACGTCAGTGACACCGACAACGACGGTGGTGACGACACGGTGCGCTGCTACTGCCACGAAGCACCCGCGACGCAGACCCGTCGGCGCATCTCAGCGGTGCAGCTGCATGCGAGTTCAGTGGCGGTACCCGTCGCCGTCACGGACGCCCTTCTTGGCCGCGCCGTCGGTCGGTGGATCACGACGCGGTCGCTCCAGCAGTTGCACTCTGCGATTTTGGTGTTTTGGCCGACGCGTCACCGCCCGCGCTTTCTCGGGTTCGAAGCGGCGATGCGCGCGCTCCATTCTGGTGACACGCTCGGGTGGCCCTCGATCGACGATCTCGCACTTGGCGTCTTTGACATGTTTCAATTGACCGATGGCTACAGGACGACCGAAGCCGACGCGACCGCGATGTCGTCGTACCTCGTGCAGTCGTCGTCGTCGTCGTCGCTGCCCGGACGCTTTTTGCCCGACGCCTTTACCCTGGACAAGCAGGCGTCGCGAACCCGGGGCCTCCACTGGCTGCGCGACGTGATTGCAAAGTTTGGGTGGTTGAGCGTCAGAGACAGTATCGTGACCCTTTGCTCGTCGTCGTCGCCCGACGACGGCCTGTATCGGCTTGCCCATGCTATGCACTTTGCGCGGCGACTCCTTCTCGAGTCGGTCGTGCCGGCGCACGAAGCAGAGGTTGTCGCGGACCTCGCCAGCACACCTGGCGTGTGCTGTCGATGCAGCTGACCGCGGTGCGCGAGATCGACGCGTACCCGAATGCTATGCCGACTCGGTTCCGCAGCAATGCTACTGCAAGATGCGCTGGCCTTGGAGGCCCGGGCCGGGCGCCTGCGCGATAGCACTGGCAAGCACGTCAGTATCGTCTTGGCATGGACGATGATGATTTACTTACCCCACTACGTGCTCTCGGTGCTGCTTCCGGTGGTGCTCACCGTGCAACCGCCGGCCCTCGTCGCCGACCTCGTGCCGATGGTCGCCGACACCATCGAGTACATGACGGACGACGACCAAAGTCATTTGGCCGACGTCTTCCGCTTTGACGCACGCTACGGAGATATCCACGACGCGTACGACAACGTCGCCAACGTCATTGACACTGACGTCTTTGCGCCGTTCCTGGAGGCGCTGCGCGCCGGCATGGTCGTCGCGACCCCGACGCGAATCGTCGACGACGTCGTCCAGCGCACTCTCCGCCTCGTTGCGGGCACCGTGGCAAAGTCCACGGACGCGATCACCGGGCGTGTCTTGACCACGTACAAATCTATCCTCCGCGTCCCAGAGGCGATAGCTATTTGCCACCTCTTGTCGCCGACAGCGGTGTCGCGCCTTCTGGACGAAGTGACGGCCCTTCTCACGAACGCGCCGGACGCTCTCTACTACGTCCGCCGCCTGCTCTACCCGACGGTGTCGTACCTCGACTCGCAGCTCCCTGGGCTGTACTCATTGCCCCGAAACGCGATGGCCGCCGCCGTCCGGACGGCCCTCGTGGCCTTTCTACAGGCGACGCAAACCCCGGCGCCGGTGTCGCGGCTCCATACCGCGTGCATGTGCACTGAATGCAAGGACGTCGAAATGCAACTGGAGGCGTGTCAGCCGACAAGAGACGTCGACGTCGTCCGCGCCACGTGCCCCAAGCTTCGGGCGGCGGTAAGCGCGTTGCCCAAGCACCCGCGAGTGGCACTCGCCTTGCTCTCCATGTCGCGGCTAACGATTCGGATTACGTCCGAGGCCGCAGCGATGGCCGAGCGGCAGCGCGACGAAGCCACGGCAGCTCGCTTGCGCGTTGGGAAGCACAAGAAGAAGAGCAAGAAGAAGGGCAAGACGACAGCCGCATCACCCGAGGCTGTTGCCCCTAACGAGTAGCATTCCATACTCAGCTATGAAAACGGTGGTGTACCTCTCAGCTGCTATGACCTTTCGACCGACGGTGCACCAACGGTCGTAGTTGGAAGAAGGTGAATGGACGATTTTGCGCTGCGAGCATGCAGCGCACCATTTTGCATTTACTGTTCGGCGTCTTGAAAGGTACAATCTGTGAAACGGTGGTGCAATCAAGGATCGAAGCGGCTCCCAAGAATTGTCATTGGTTCTGCGAAATGAGGTTGAGAGCAGGAATTCCTTTGGGGATCATCCGTAAAAATTGGAACTATACGACGGACTACCTCTTTATCACATTCGTCATCAACACCCCAGAGAAAGACTGTCGATGGTCAACGCATCGCATAGTACTGGCATTTGCGGCATTGAACCGCTGCCTTCCTTTCGATTGCGTAGCAAACCGGTCACATTCTTAGTTTCTTAGTGGCACAAGGGGGACTCGCTCTCGACGTTCACAAGACCATCTTGATGGACGCCACGGATTGCTTTTGGGCCAATCCGCGTGCGTCGTCCTAGAAATTGGACGAATCAGCGACCAGGACTCGGCCACTTTGCCTTTTGCACCACCTTTCCCAGACGATGGCCACAGCGCGGATCGACGTCGTCGCCGGCTTCAACCGCGCAGTCGAAGCGATCGGCGACGGCGGCCGCCACTGCTTCACCGCCGAGTACGACGATAGCGTTGACCCGATGCTGCGCGTCCGGGGCGTCAACCAGCGCCTCACGTGGCCATTCTCGGCGCGCCAGGCCAAGCAGCTCTTTGCACTCTACAAGAAATCGCCGGCGTGCATGATTCCAGCGTTGGACCTCACAATCAAGAACGACGTGGCGTGGGACGAGCTCCTCGAGGACGACATCTTTCCGCGCATCGAAGAGGAGCTTGTGCCGGAAGGGCCGTTCGAAGCGGTGCTGTCCCATCTGCACATTGACAGCAATGGCACGACCGCCAAGCTCCTTCCGACGAACCGCGCGAAGGGATCGTTTGGCACGCTCTGCGTCGTGCTCCTCTCTGAGCACGTCGGCGGCGACATCCATGTGACCCACGGCCGCCACACGCAGGAAGTGTACACGGGCGACGAGCTCTACGCGTCGTTTGTAGCATTTTACAACGCCACGACCCTCACAGTATCGCCCATGGACCACGGACGCCGCGTCATGCTGGTCTACGATCTGGTCTACATGGAAGACCACGCGAGTCGTGACGCGCCGCCGTCGCTCTCGGCGGTCACGACGTCGCTGGCGTCGCTTGCGACGATCCCGCGCCAGTACTATGCCAACCTCGCGTACCGCTGCACGCACCAGTACATGCTCCTCGACTTTGAAATGCTCTTGGGCGTCGACCTTGCGTTTGTGCAGGCCGTCGCCGACACGGACGTGTACGACATTGCGTTTGTCGGCGCGCGGAAGAAGCCGTACCATGGCGACTTGACGACCATGTCGGAAGAAGAGCTCGAGCGCGACCGAGCGATCGCCGAAGACCCAAACGCTCTCATGCGCGTGACGACGTCCGACTTTTACCCTGGATGCAACACGCCACCGGTGGTCAAGGCGTGCCTCCGCGCGCGACCGCTCGGCCCCGTCGTCGGCGCGATCTACTCGGAGTCGCTTCACATTGTCGTTTGGCCCAAGCAACACCGGGTGCGCATTCTCGGTTGGGCCAAGGCCATCGAGCACCTCAAGCTGCTCGTGAAGCAGTCGACGTCCGACCTCCTCGGGTACGCCTCGACCGACGCCTTTGCACTGGCGACCATCGAGATGCTGGGCATCAACGACCGCAAGGACGACCCGAAGAACGTGGATGTTCCGACACCGCTCGACGTCCTTCCGCTGCTGACGGACCTCGACAACCTCGACGTCACGGCCACGTTCATTGCCGACTTTATGGACTTGTCGGCCGGCATCGAGTCGACGGCGGCATTTGTGCGCGCGTCGCTGACCCGCTTTGGGTGGGAGCCGCTGCAGCCGTCGATGGTGGCGTTCATGGCGCGCGCCAGCAGCGAATGGCGCGGACTCGCCGACGTCTTTCGACTGCTCGTCAACCTCGCGGGCTATGTGTTTACACATCCGGACGCGATTGAGCTGCCGATTTGCGACTCGTACAAGGCGCCGTGGAGCCTCGAGCTTATAAAGACGTGCTGGCACACGCTGGTTGAAGGCATGGCGGCGCTCGACGACCTCCCGCCGTCCGTCGATGTCCTCACGGTGCTCGAGCCGTTGGGGTGCCAGGACCTCCTCACGAACGCGATCGTTGTCCAGGCGTACCTCGAGCAAACAACGACGTCGCCGGTCCACGGCGCCTTTTTGCGCGGGAAGCTGCCGCCGTCGCTGCTTCGGTGCGTCGATTCGTACCTGTACCCGACGTCGCTGCTAGACGTCGTGCGCGCCAAGCCAATAATCTTCCACCCGGTCAACCTCGTCGCACCGACGATCCACGCACTCTTGCAGCGCCGGGACATTGCGCCGACGATCTCGCTTCGCGCCTACATGCAGCTCGCATGGCGCGGGTACTTGGCCACAAGCCCTCGCCGCATCTACATGCTGCCGCTCGCGGGTATTCTGAGCTGCGCCGCCAACGAAGTCAAGCTCAGTCGACTGCTCCATGGTGCATACGAGCGCCACGGTGTTGTGCTCGCCCCGGCCCTCGCCGACTACCTCGCGTTGGCACCCCTTGTCCGCGAGGCGGATGCCGATGCCATGTGTGCTGCAGTCATGCTCACGGTCGAGGCCATGTCAAGCCAACAAGCGCAAGACCGGTTCTACATTGTCAACGGAGCCATGGCAGTCTTTGGCTGCCTGCGCCGCCCGGCGGCCATGGCCGAGGCAGTCGCGTCGATCGTACGACAGTTTTACCATCCGCCGGCGTCCCTCGAAGCCGTTCGGTTGATCTGGTACACGCTCTTCAAGCAGGTCCACGCGTCGTTTCCCGACGAGGTGGACGTACTGAAGCGGCTCGTGACCATGTGCCTTCCGCCGCTGCGCGCGCATTTGGCGTCCACCCCGGCGCCGGTCGCGCCCAACTTTGCGAATCCGTTCTTATTCGTGCCCTGCTCGTGCACACAATGCAGCGAGATCCAAGCCTTCTTGCGCGACGGGTCGGCCTCGGACTTCGAAGCGACGTACGTCCAGCCCTGCGCCAAGTTTACAGCGTACGCCGCGTCGATGGCGTCAAATCCGCGCGTTGACATTCAAATCTTTGGCGACAATACCGTTGCGATTGAGAAGGCCGGGCACCGCGAGGTCGCCGACCGGAAAATGGACGAAGCGTCGGTCGCGCACCTCGAGGCCGTGGCCGCGCGGCTCGGGCTCACCAAGCCGTCGAGTTGAACCAGTGGCCTTGCTAACACGACTGAGTTATGAGCGGAACGGTTTGTAAGCGCGTTTGGCGGGTCGTGTCAATACATTAAACGGATGATTATTGAGCCTTGGTAAGGGGTAGGGTCGACCGTGGAGGGACAGGATGGGACTCGGAACGACCATACGAATGGCCAACTCGTTGAGGCGCCAGCGAGAGGATCGTGAGAGAGTTCGAGGGTGGTCGGCAGCTGACGGCATTGCGGTGGTGTGGCGTTGTCGATGCGACTTAGTTGGTGGAGGCAGTATTCCTTTGCGATCAGGAGCCCACTCTATTGGCAAGAGTGCTCATAAGGACTCGTCGAGCCACGAGCTCTACCCTGGATACAAGCTTGGATACGTGATTACGTGTAAACGGCATCGAGCGTTTGCAGGATGGCTATCCAAGCGAGCTATTTAATCCATCCGTCGTGCGTCCGATTATCGACAACTACTAAGACATGCGAGTAGTAGATAGTACATGAAGAAGGATAATATATATTGGTGCGGAGGAGACTAGGCAGGGATGTTGATCCAGCCTAGGATCGTTTCGTTGGTCGACGCCGGTGCAATCGCGTAGCCGTCCTTGGTCACGGTCGCCGCGAGGCGCCTCGAGTAGTCTTGGTCGGATGGCCAGACACTGTCGTCGTGGTTCTGTTCGATAATGTCCACGTAGTCGTCGGCGACGCGCGTGATGACGGCGACGTGGCCCGTCTCCTTCATGTGGCCGCCGTGGTCCCAGATCAGAAGCGACCCGACGCGCGGCCGTGTCGGTGCGCCGTTGTGACACCGGTCGACGGCGACCGGGCGCTCGTCGGCGACCGTGGCAAAGGCGGTCGTCGGCGCAAAAATCTCGTACGCAAAACGAATCGACGAAAACGTGACGCCGCTGCGCACGACGAGGTAGCGCCGCGCGAGCTCGACGCACTGCCACTGCAGCCCTGTGAAGACGCCGTTGTGGAAGTGGACGAGGCCACGCGCCATCTTGGGGCAGGCGGCGTTGTAGCACGAGTAGACACTAATGTCGTCGCACACGCCGAGGATGGTACCAAAGGGGCAGCGCGTTGGCGCGGTGCTGCTCGAACAAAGCGCAGGCATGGACATGACGCGGGCGCTCCGAAGGCCATGCGTCGGCCATCGGCGGGCGGCGGCGCCGAGCCAGCGGGCTGTCGACTTCACGATCATTTGCAAGCTGGCATCCCAGCGAAGTCGGAATCTTCGGCAGGCGTTTGATTGGACATAAATTGACCAATTAAAAGGCAGGACGGAGTTTCCAGAAAAATGAGCAAGCCGACGTCAGAGTTCCAGGCAAGTTCAAGTGCCGCATGGCGCGCGTGGGTGGCCATGATCGGCCCGCATCCTGCGCATTTAGCGCGTTGACAGCCATTACATAGTCTTTTTCTAATATACGTAATTCACCTTATTTGAAACCGCAGCTACGTTGCAACGTGCTCGTCGGTCGACGCCAGGGTGAGCCCGAGAGAGCCCCAGACAATGATGCGTGAAGCTTGTGCCAAGGGCGTATACAATGTTTCATGACCTTGCTAGAGCTTTAGCTGCATTCAAGATGCTTTTTAGGCTCTTGATGCTGGCTCTCGGTGCAGGCAGAACAAAGCGCAGCCATTGATTATGCAAAGTCTTTGTGTAATTATGAAGATAACGCGAAACACGTTCATATATACTACAAGCTGGAACAGCGAGGAAAAGGCCAAATCTCCAAACTTTTGGAACTTTTTCCCTGCAACGAGTTGAGAGCTGAAAATTGGTATGGTGACTAAATGATATTTTCTCTACATGTCTAGTGTACTTGACAATATTAGTCACAGCGGGCTAGGGGTCCTTTGCGCGGTGTCGGTGCTCTAATCCTAAATAAATCGAAATTGGGAGGGTGACCAGCAAAGTTCCATACATAAGGACGTTTGCCTTGTCACGCAGTACTAGAATATGGTGCGCTATGCCTCACGAGAGGTGCAGGGGATGCTGCAGCACAGTTCGCAGATTCGAGCCAGTGCGACTGCCAAATTTACGACTTTTAGCCTCTTCTATACATAATTACCGGATAAAAACCGGATGTATTATTTGAAATTGCACGCTTCGCGCCGCGACGATGAGCGCCAAATGCGGTGTCACGAACTGCTCGTCCAAACGCAAGTACCGACCCCACCTCAAGGAAGTCAAGCGCGGCAAGATAAAGGCCAAGTTCGGGCCGTACGAGGACAGCCGCGACGAAGCACTGCTCGCCGGCAGCGTTCTGTTTGGAGCCGCGTGGGTGTTGCCAGGCGACGACGAGGGCGCTTCCTCGCCGGACGTCCGAGGCCTGCTCGCAGGCTGAGATCGAGGCCGCTGTCCGCGAGCACAAGGTGCACCGCTCGATCCATGACACAAATCGCCGCACCATCAACGCGCCTCTTCCGGAGCTGCAGATTTACTATTTGTAATGGTAATATACAAATGTACAGTCATTTAATTCCAAACAGGTTTCCGCCTATCCCATCGCAGTATTTGGAGCCTGGCCAATAAAAACGAGGGAGCAATATATTGGTTTCTCCGCCGTTCCAGCT